CACACAGCTATAATCCCAGCGGTTCAGGAGGCTGAGGCAGGAGGATCTGAGTTCAAAGCCAACCTCAACAACTTAACAAGGCCCTAAGCCACTCAGTGAAACCCTGTCTCTAAATAAAATCCAAATAAGGGATGGGGATGTGGCTCAGTAATAAGTGCCTCTGAGTTCAATCCCCAATACCAAAAAACAAAACAAATAAACAAAAACCAAGAAATGTACCAAGAAAATGAAAGATAAACATTTGAAAGATATAATTTATAAATTAGACCACATATGTGATATGCTATATATGATATACATATAATTCGTGTATATATGATAGAGGAAGCCTCAACACATTCTAAGGACTAAGTCCCAGACAGAACACTTGCTGTGACCACACATAGCAAATTCAGAAACCAATCATCAAAAGGCAGGCCCTCCCTCCAAGAAATACACTTGGAAATTTCAAAAACAAACAAACAATAAAACTAGAATTTTTTTTTCTAAATTCACAGGTTAAAAGGAAAAATATGATGAAAGTTACAAACTATTTAGAACTGAACAATGAAAAATACCAAATTCCAAAACTTATAAGATGCAGTTATAACAGTATAGCAAGAAAGGGAATTTATAGCCCCAAAAGCACATTAGAAAAATAAGAGATATTAGAAGTCAGTGTTTGAGTTCTAGAATTTTTTTTAAATAAAAGTCAAACATGGGGCTGGGGATGTGGCTCAAGCGGTAGCGCGCTCGCCTGGCATGCGTGCGGCCCGGGTTCGATCCTCAGCACCACATACAAAAAAAACAAAGATGTTGTGTCTGCCGAAAACTTTAAAAAATAAATAAATAAATATTAAAATTCTCTCTCTCTCTCCCTAAAATAAATAAATAAATAAAGTCAAACATGTTAGAAGAAATAAAATCGTAACACCAAAGTGATAAAAGAAAGGAAGTATTTATGATTGCTCACCAAAACCAAAAGCTAGTTATTTAAAAGGCTGATAAAATGTAATTTAAAAATACATTTCAATGTTAGAAGATACAAGGTTGATCAAGAAAGAGAGGTCAAGCATAAATACATGTCTTAGGAAGGAAAAGGAAGCTAACTTAAAGATACAAAGAACATTTATAAAATTATAATGCTATTAGACACAATATTTCATGCCAATTTGGAAAACTACCAATTTTTGTAAAATGGTACACTGTTTAGAAAAATACAAGTCACCAAAATGGACTCAAAAAGAACAATAAAACCAGAATTGATCAAAAACCACTAAAGAAACTGAAACCATAGTTTCAAAAGCTCTATTATTCCCAAAAGGCATCAGGCCTGGATAGTTTTATAGGTAACTCTTCCCAAACCTTAGGGAATACATCATGCCTACTTTACACAAATTGTTCCAAAGAACAGAAACAAAGAAAGCAACCAAATTCATTTTAGGAGTCTAGCATAACCTTAATACCTGAGCTGAACAAAAACAAAACAAAACTTCAGGCCAATATCCTCGTGAACATAGGTATAAAAATCCTAAAGTAATAACTACTCAAAAATATAGCAATACACATAAAAATAATACAGCAAGGCTGTGATAAAAACTCCAAGAGCTCCATATATCCATTCTCATCTCAGTCTTTAGTCATAAGAACTGTAATTTTCAGCTGTGGACTTTGTACTTTGCAGACAGCTTCCCAGCTGAAAGACTATCCTCTACAGCCCCCCCACCAGCAGCCAGTTGCCACCACGTGATGTGGTTACAGCCCAGGTGATGTAGGTTAAAGTGCTGTGTGTGACTTTTTAAAAAGGATGATGCCCTTCTTCCTCAGTTCCTCCTTCCCACTGCTCAGCACAGACATGGCAGGAGGAGCTTGAATTTCAGCTCCTGGGATATGAGGTAATACACAAAGGACGGAAAAGCAGCCAAAGAAGAGCCTAGGGTCCTGACACCATACCTCTTTACATCCAGGTGGCTTTGGATGTAAGAGAAATACACTTCTTTGAGACACCGAGACCCTCTTACAGGCAAATTCAATCCAAACTGATAACAGGATCAAGCAGAGTTTATCCAGGAATTAAAGAATGGACCAACTGGGAAAAAATATTCATATAATGCACCATATTCCACATGGAAAGAGAAAATCTAGGATCATCTAAGTAGACTCTGAAAAAGCATTCAGTAAAATTCCACTTGCCTTTTCTATTTAAAAAAATGAAAATTAAAAACTCTTAGTCAACTAGCAATAGAAAGAAATTCCCTAACCTGAAAAAAAACAGTACCTATCACAAAATGTAGCAGACATCTTGAGAAGCCTAGCTACTAAACTCAAGAATGGAATAAGCAAGCTACTACTCAGGAGTAAACAGGAAGTCTTATTCAATGCATTATTATAAGAAAAATAAATTTAAAATAAAGATCTAAAAGAAATATCCTCATTTGCAAAAAAATCTATACAGAAAACCCATCATGATTTTTCGGATAACCTGAGACCTGATAAGGGAGAGCAGCAAGGCTGCTAAATACAAAATCAATAGGCAAAACTTAATAGTGTTCCCATATACTAGCAGTGCCCCATTATAAAATAAAACAGAAAAAAAAGACCTAGATCATAATAGCTAACACCATCACCTTTCTACTAGCCTCAATTCCACTACTACTTTCCTCAAATTCATTCTCCATTCAGTAGCAAGTGATCTTTTGTAAACATAAATTAGAGCATGTCACACTCTTTCTTTAACCTTTTAATAGCTACTCATTATTTATAATTAGATTCCAATTCTTTATCATGCCCATGCTCGGCATGACCTGGCCCCTGGAACTCTCCAATGCACTCTCTCACTACTCCCCCATTGCACTCCTTGCCAATCACAGGAACCTTCTATCAGTTCCTGGTGCGTGTCAAACCTTTCTCGCCCCAGGGCCTTCGTATATGTTATTTCTTCTCCCTAGAATGCTTTTCCCCCAATCATCACTGTAGTGTTCTCAAACATCAGTTCAAATGTCATCTGCTTAATCTAAATAAGGTTCCTTCTCTCTTATCTCTTCCTCTTTCATATTCCCACCATGATGTGCAATAATATCATTACATGGTATTACCACAATGTGTCATCCTATTTTTATTCATGGATTATTTACTGATTGCCTCAATTTCCCTCTAGACCATAACTTCTATAAGGACAAAAGTTGTGTCTTTGGTGTTTCCCTGAGCATTTAAGGCAGTGCACCAAACATGTGTCATATAACAAAGGCTTAATAAGTATTTGCTGAATGAATACATCATGAATGAATGGCAGAGTGTGCTCAGCTAGGATGCCTGCTACACTCCTCCCAGGATTCAGGCCTCTTAGGAGGAATAGAGGGACTCCTCGGGGATCTATCTGGATGCATCCCAAGCAAGCAGTGAAGACACATGGGCTTGGTTTATGGTCCACAGTTAGCACTGGAGTCAGGGTGATGTGTAGAATTAGGAGCATAGAGCTATATCCATCCTCAAAAACTTAAGTCATGGATTTGCAAATTGAGTTTGTCATAAATTGTCACTTCTCTGTAATATTCCTGACCTATTAAGAGTTTGGAGGACAGTGGCTTTAGGAGTGATGGGGGCAACAGAAGGAGCCTTTTGCCACCCTTGAAGGAAGCATTTACTATATCAGGAGAGTATGGACCTTCAGGGAGCTAGAGCAGGAGTGGAGGAAAAGGGCGACTCCCACAGAAACCCTAAGAAGATTTGATTTCACACACACACACGAACCCCAGGGGGTCCCAGGAATAGATGGCAGAACCACAAGGAAGGCCAGAAGGCCAACAATGGCACATGAGAACAGAGCTGCAAGGGACAGTGCTGGGGCACTAGTTTGACACCTGCAGTGGGTATGGCCTAGACAATTTGGATTACCACAAAACCTTCAGTCAGCCTCAGAATGGTTCCCAGACACCATACCCAGGGCCACCAGGCATCATGCTCCAGAGGGCAGATGGGCACTGTGGCATGGCCATGTGGTTGTTAAAGAAAGTGTCTCCCCAGGGACCCAACAACAGAGAGGACTTCTTTCAATATTCCTTCTGGAGCTTACAATGCTAATTCTTCAGGTGGAAATTAAGGAAGCAGTGTTTCTGAGGCCACCTAATTCCAGAAGAGTGGCTGCTGGTAATTCTACTGTCTTGGATACACCACAGACTCAGGCATATAATAGGTACCCCCAACTGGTTATATGTTGTGCAACCAAGTGAGGAGGAGTGTTATATCTGCCAGGAGCCGAGACAAGCAGTCTTCCTGTTTATTTTTTTCTTTGGGGTTCACATACTGGCCCACCTCAGGTTATAAGGAGGGATTGGCAGTCCTATTATCCCCTGTAAAGGACAATGACTGGAGGCCTGCTTGCCACCTATTACCTTTCCTTACCTCTCTTTCTCCCCAACCACTGTCTGTCTGCCTCTAGGCACCTGAGAGTGGCATGAGTACAAGGAGAACTCGCTTTAGGTTTGGTGACTACCCTGGAGGTCTTTGTGGACAACCTCTGTCTGCTCTGACTTCTCCCCAATAAGAAGGTGGGGTCTCACTCCAGTAGGAGAGCAAGTGCAGGCAGAGTGAGCCAAGGAGGACATGACAGCCCTTGCTCCTCTTCTCCCCAGTGACACCTGAGTGTACCCACCATGACCTACCTCTTGTCCTCTTCCACCTGTACACCGATGGAGTGAAACTCTCTTCGGCTCCTGTTCTCGGTGTCAGAGTCTGAGATAGTCTCCACCTGGTGGCAGGGTGGAGGAGTCAGCAGCGGGGCCTAGCCAGGGGACACACCCCTTCCCAGTGAGAATGGTCAGCACTGGCTGAGCCCCAAGCCAACTGGCAAATCTTCAACGGATAATCTCCCTGAGGAGATTATTATTATCTGAGAGAGCAGACGCATCAAGGTGGCAACAACTGGGCCCCTCTCTGCACTCTCTAGCAGGGATGATGGTACAGGAAAGGGACAAGTTGCTGAAACAGCCCTGTCGATGACCAGGCACAGGATCTACTTGCAGCTCAAGACTGGCCAAGAAGCTCTATGTATCCAGAAGGCCCCTCTGATCTTCTCAACCCCTCCCCAACTGGCCAGACCTGAGCCTTCGATGGTGCCTCCTCCTTTCATACCTGCACACCGATGGATGGCCGCCACTTCCGCTGTCGCGCCAGGCTCCGCAGCTCCTCCCTGCCAGGGATGGTTTTGATGATGAGTGTGGGGGGCTTGGGGCTGGCCCGGGGTGGCACCGGCGCCAACTCGAGGGTGCGTGCGCCCATGGCGGGGCCGTCCAGCCCGTCTGCGGAGCTGCAGCGCCGGGCTGGGCCCTCCGTGGCGGTGAAGCTCTCGTGGGCAGAGTCGGTGCTGCTCTGGGCGGTGATGGAGATGCGGGGCGGGGCCTGGCTTCCCGGCGGGATGGGGGGCGGGGCCTTTCTGAAGTTGAAGGCTGTGGAGGGCGAAGCAGGGAATGAGATACACATCCCGGCAAGAATCTGAGGCCCATCACCAGGCACACCCATGCGCTCCCTCAGGACCCGGCCGCCACGCGCACGCCATGTGCTGCTACATACAGGGCCAAGGACTGTTCTCATCCTGCCCAGAGAGGAAAGTGATCTGTCCACAGCACAGCCATGGCACTGACCGGAACGGACACCAAGGTGGTCTCCAACTAAGGCCCAGGCCAGGGACAGAGAAAGCATACTTACAGGAGCCGGGCCTCCCTGAGACAGAAGCAGGGGCAGCAAGGAGGGGTAGGCAGTCGTCGTCTTGAGAGCAGCCGGCCTGGATGGCCCGGAGGTAGCTGTGGCTCCGCATGCGGAAACAGCCGGGCAGGTCCAGGGCGTCCACCGCCTGGGACTCAAGCTCCCCAAACACAGACCCGCACACGGCCTCCAGCTGCTGGTTCAACTCGTCGCTGAGCTAGGGGCAGAGGCCGGGAGGTCAGTTACCAAGGAGCTGGGAAAGGGTGCTCTGCCTTAGGAACATATCTAAGTCTTCATCCACTAGGCCTCTGTGACTCTTCTTCTCCAGCATTTGGGCTAAAAGAAACCCTCACTGTCCCCAAAGATGGGGACACCTGTGATACTCCCTACGGCCTGCCTTGGGGCCCAGTTTTATTTAAATACCCCTACCTGTCCCCCACCTGTGCTTCTCCAGGTGTCTGGCTGTACCCCGAACTCTGACCACACTTTCTTCTCTACCTAGTTCTTCATCTTTCTCACACTTGAGCCTGACAGAGAGAATCTTGTCATCCATACGCCTGCTGGGTATCAGGGTGGGGACTGCAGGGAAAGACACTTTATTACTTATTACCCCACTACATTACAAACTTGATTAAAATCAACCTATAGATATATATACCCAGGGGCAAGATGGAATGTAATTATTAGCCTACAGGTATCTCAAGGCTTTCCCCACTTTGTGCTCACGAACAAGGGTTCTGACTTGGTCCACTGGTTCCTGCCCTGCCCTCACCCTCCAAGGGAAGCTCAACCATTACTGGATGAAATTTTTGTTTTTGATACTGGGGATTGAACCCAGGGGCACTTAACCACTGAATCACTTCCCCTTTTTATTTTGAGATAGGGTCTCACTAAGTTGCTCAAGGCCTCCCTAAGTCACTGAGGCTGGCTCTGAACTTGCAATCCTCCTGCCTCAGCATCCCAAGCCTATGGGTTGAAGTTCTTGTTTTTGTTTTTCACAATTTGTGGGGCAGAATTCATGATGTTAAAAAAATATAGAAGCAAGGAAGAAAAATATAATACAAAATTTTTGTTCATGGAACCATGCCACAAACCATAGACTGAGACTAAATATACTACAGAGTTTTCAGCATAAAGAAAAAAATAAAGGTAGGAAAAAGTAGTACCAGAGGTAAGCTCTGTGACAAAACACAGCTGACAGAGTCCTAAACATTGCTCCAAATGGGTACATACTCTTCCCAGAGCTTCCACCCAGCCAAAGCATGTATGAAATGTAGCCTGAGAGTTGCCTGCATAGGCCATGAGATGAGGCTCACCTAGATTCAAGTGCTGTCTCTGTCTCTTCCTAGCAATGTGGCCTAGGAAAGCAAAAGTTTGGGGGCCTCAGCTTGCTCACCTGTCAAATGGGAATGATACCGGTACCATATTTATAAGTCTATTGAAGGGACTCAAAATAAAAAAAAAAATGGGAACTTGCAATTGGTTTTTGTTGTTGTTCTGAATTAGACAAGAAACTAAGAGGAGAGGCAAGCACCTGGTATGGACATGAATTAATTCATAAATATCAAAACAACTGATCTGACACTCCATTTTCAATGCACCTAGTATGGCAACTGATGCATAGAAAATCACACCCAGAAAGCACAGGGTAGGGGCATTCATGAGAACCATAACTGCTCCTGTCACTGAGCCCAAGATAAATCTCCCTGTGGATGACTGTGCAGAGGCCCCTGGATGGAGTCTTACACAAGGTTCTCAGTAATATCCCATGGTGAATATAACAGCAAGTATCCTAGGCTGCACCTGTGACATCTCCCAGGAAAGATTCACAGCATCATATTTATGTGCAGTCAACAGAGATTCAAAGAATTGTCTTGACCCAAGTGTAAAATGCTGCTTAATATTTCCATAACTATGCCTCCTAAGTGTAGCATGATTTCACTAGGCCCTGGCTCAAATAGAGCTGGAATTTCCATCCCATTCTATCAATGGGAAAACTAAGACTCAGAGAGGACAGATAAATTGTCCACAGATAGCCAGTTGGTAAGTGGTAAAACTAAAATTAAATGCTACATTTGTCAGCTCCCCTGTAAGGCTGATTGAGTATCAGGATCTCCTAGGGAGCCTGTTAAGTCTATGTTAACTCGGGCCCTCTAACTATATGCTTTTCTCTGCTTTGGCTGCTTGGAAGCTCAGAAAAAAATCTGCTGAAGATACAGACTCAGTGGTTCTAATGTAGGCCCAGAAATGAAAAAGAGGACTGCCTGAATTCCTTTCTAAAGGAACTTCATTACAGTGGAACAGAAATCACAGGCCACAGAAAAAGCAATCCAAGATCCAGTAGAAGTTAAATTCTTCCATGTCCAACCAGCCTAAGCCACACCATGTGGCATCTGTGGCTGTCACCATGACTTCCTGTAATCTACTATTCAGTTATACTGTCTCTGGATGTTGGGAACCCCATGGACAGCAGTTGCCAAGGTATTTCCTGGAGCTCAGGAGCTCAACCAACTCCTGCTCTTTCTAGATTAGGCTCAAAGTGCTTCCCAACTAAAACCAATCCAGCCCAGAGAGTCCCTCCTGGATCCCATGGGAGCTAATCTAAGAGCCAAGAGCATTGTGGTCTCAAGTAGCCTGGTCATCAAGGATTCAAGGAATCTCATTCTGAACTTAACTTCAGTTTTCTTCTATGTGTAAAGCAGTAGGCATAATATCTGACACAGAGCAGATGCTCAATAAACATTAGCTATGACTATTAGTAGCAAGAGGTTCTTAAAACACAGTGGCAATATCATTCAGAATGAGAGAGCTCTCTATTCCAAATAGACATCTCTATCTATATTTAAAATAACACCCAGCTATGTCCACAACCAACTCTATCCAAGGCAGGCAGTGGCAGAGTGAGAAGCTCCCGGTGGTCATACACCTTCCAGCTCAACTGGCCAAGAGGAGATTCTGGGGAGTCTACAAGGGACGAGGACCTAGGGAAACCCAGTCTCTATCTATATAGACTCACAGAGGAATACTGCACCTGAGTTGATCTGCCCTATGTGATATTATGCTTATAAAATGGTCCCACTGCATGGTGAATACGCCCATTATTCCTGCATCAACTTCCATCCTCCTTCCTCCAACCCCCACTTGCAGGAGAGTCAAAAAGAATCCTCTGGGGAAATGAGATCCTGAGCCTTTCTACAAACCAGACTCAGAATCAGTGGCCATTTCCAAGCACATGGGATAATGAAAGGAAAATACTTCGTTTGAATCTAATTGAAAATCGCCCATGCTAGAGTCGGTGGGTCCAGCTGGGGGCCAGGTGACATCCTGTACACTTTACGTAAGTTATTTCGTTTAGATAACCTTTGAAGCCTCCCGTTTCAAGCCACTCCAAAACACTGGATAAAACATAACAAATGTCATTTTATATGCATAGCTGAGCTCACAAGAAAGCAAGCTAAGTCCCCAGGGGACAAAAGCAAAGAGGAGACTGGAAAATCAGAATATGAACTATGTGAGCCAATGTTGCAAACAGCCCAGTGGAGGCGGGCAGTGGGGGCAGGGGGTTCTGGTCTCAGTAACCAAAAGACTTAAGTTTTAACACCCACTTGGGCGGAGGAGTGAGGCTTTGGGCTCACACGAAGCCCAAATGAGAAGCTGAAATGAGAACCTTTAAAAGCTAGAAAAGGGGAAATCTTCGATGAAAATGTTGACAAAAAAAATTTTTTTTAAAAAAATCAATCCTTACCACAGGCCGATAGAAAAAAGCCAGTCTGTAGTTCAGGCACCAGAGGGAAGAAAGGAGACAAATCCCCTAAAAACCTGTACCCATAAACCAGTCCTCCCACAGACATGGGATTTTATCTCTTCATGGGCTTGCATGGCCCAGATTAAAAATTCACATAAAATGGCTCTGGACCAGGAATATTCTAACAGAAGCAACTGCAAAATGTATACCTGAGGGATCCATGCCTAACCCAGGCTGCTCAGGCCTCCACTGAAGATGAGCAAACAGTGTCTATGTAGCAGCCATTTCTGACATCACCTTAATGGTCTCCAACTCCTGGCATGCACTACTTCCTCTGGAGTGCGGACTGGACTTATTGGCCCACTTCTCATGAATAGAACATGGCAGATATCGGAGATGTCACTTCTGAGACTAGGTTACAGACTGTGGTTTCTATTTTAGATTCACATGGAAGCAGGCTGCCATGTTGTGCGATGTCCCTAAAGTGAGTCCCACATGACAAGAATCTGATGACTCTGGCCAATGGGTGGTGAAGATCCAAGCCTGCAAACAGGCACATCAGTAAGCATGGAAGCAGGCCTCCCCCCAGGCAAGCCCTGAGATGACCACAGCCCTGCTCATCACCTTAACTGCAGTCCTGTGAGATGCTTGACCCAGGTAGCACCTAGTTAAGCTGCTCTCAGATGCCTGACCCACAGAAATAGGAGATAATAAGTTCCTGTGTTTTCAGACGCTGCATTTTGTGTAAATTATTATGTCGGAATAGATAACTAATACAAACTGTGACATAAACTTCTATTAAGTCATTGAGAATCCAGTTTTTAACTATCTAGAAGATACATAAAACTTTTGACATATAAAGCAATTTTGCCTTATGTATAGCAAAATTGTCTTTAAACTATGTTTGATACTTTTTTTAAAAAAGATAGAATCTTGCTGTGTTGTTCAGGTTGGCCTTGAATTTCTGGGCTAAGATGATCCTCCTGCCTCAGTCTCCTGAGGAGCAAGGAGTACAGACATGTGTTATTGTGCCAAGCTTTGAACTACCTTTAAAAGTCCTAACTTCAAAGCTAAAACTGAAAATAGAGAGAATAAAAGCTTGGGGAAAAGAGAAACTAAAGATTTGAAAAGGAATCAAATCAGATTTTGAAAAATAAAAATAAGTTAGTAAAATTAGAATACAACTGATGAGTTGATAGTAGATTAGATATGACTGAAGAAAAAGTCACTGAATTGGAAGATTCACCCAAGGAACACACCTAGGGAGCAGCATAGGGAGGCAAAGAGATGGAAAATATAGAGGTTAAAATAGATACATGGAAGAAACAATAGAAAGTCCCTTTTACAACAATAGGAGCTCCACATGGACAGACTACGTAGACTGTGAGAGAGACAATATTTAAAGAGATAAGGACACTTGTTGGGAATTTTTGTGACTTATGATTTCAGACATAAAAGAGTAAGGAAGACAT